GAGGGAGAGAGAGGGGGAGAGAGAGAGAGATTTCCACTTTACTTACGTTGTTTTAAAACTATGAGGTATACCTCCACCCCACCAACGCCCGGCGAGCTCTACATTTTTTAATACTCTAAGAATAACTTCAAAGGCAACACAAAACACAAGCATATCTGAAGACCACTGGTCAGCAGTGTACCAGGCCAATATGGGAGACTCCGGGATCCAAAGACCTTCTTAAGCAACTACCAGCAAAGCTAGAGAGATGGGAGTGGCACAAGCCTTTAACCCAACTAGGCAGATCTGTGAGCTCAGCTCTACATTTTCTCCATTTTAAACTCGTTTCTCCAAGAAGCTTGGCCAAATCTCTGATCCTAATAACTCCTTTTAAGATTCTACAATATTCTACATTTTTCAGTTTAGCAAGGTAGATTCTATTAAGCTATTTTAATTTTTTAATTTCTGAGAATCAATGTTATAATTCCAAAGAGATTCTAAGCTTCCTAAGAAAAATGGTCTGTTTTTCTCTAGAGACCAAGTTTTGTACTACTCATGTTGCCCAAATCATGACTAATAAATAAACTTGGTTTGAATAAGCAATTCCAAGAATTTAAGGAATAAAACATGCACAAAAGTCCATGTATGTAAGCTTTAATGACATTTTCTGGTTTAGAAAATAGAAATATTTTAAGAGTTTCTCTGCTGGGCGGTGGTGGCACACCTTTAAGACCAGCCCTCGGAGGGAGGGAGGCAGAGAGAAACGGAGCTCTCTGAATTCAAGACCAGCTAGGTTTACAGAGTGAGTTCCAGGACAGCCAGGTCTAACCAGAGAAACCCTGTCATGAAAAACAAACACAATTTTAAGTGCTTCTCTTCAGGAGTTCAACAGAATAAGTACCATTAAAAAACATAATCTGGGGTTAGAGAGGTAGCTCAGTAGTTAAGAGAACAGATAGTTCTTCCAGGACCTAGCTTCAATTCCCAAACCCAAAAGGTAGCTTTTACAGTCTGCATGTAAAAGCATGTAAAAGACTACAGTCTCCAAGTTCTAGGACAGCCTGGCTCTAGACTTCTAGGAGAGCCAGGGCTATTCAGAGAAATCATCTTGAAAAAAATCAAAACAAAACACTCCCAACACAGATTTCACACATCCTTGACATGTAGAGAAGAGAGGTTGCAAAGAGACATATCTATAAAATATTTTCCTTATGTATGTGTGATATAGAGACACATTACTCACCTAGTGATATGATGGGCATAGTATTCATTTAGTTCAAAGCCAACCTGGCTATACAACTTAGGCAAGCAATGGCTGAGCAAAAACTGGTCAGGAAAAAGGTGGTGGGGTGGTAGGCACATTTACTGAGATGTATTTGAACTCTTTGATGTAATTTTTCTTCTTATTTTTTTTTTGGGGGG